AATAAAAATAATTTTATTAATACTTTAAAAATAAATTATTTAAATATTTTAAATAAAAAATTATTAAAACAATATAAATTTAGACTGCTTTCCTTCTAATTTTTTAATATCTCACAAACACTTTTTTCTAAAAATTATTCACATGCAAATTCAAATGTAATAAGGACACCATTTAAGTTTATAATCAATGAATTTCCACCTTAATTTAACCTTTAATCTGTTTTCCATTTTTGGGAACTTGTTTGACTTTCATTCTCGTTATACAAAGTTACAGTTGGGTTTAAAGCAGTTGAGTACTGTATTCCTTCTGTCCTAAGTCCTAACAAGGAAAAATTATCTCATACGATAGTCAACTATAATGCTGAGTAAAAATCCACGTGAAATCAAAATAGGCGTGGTAGTGTTAATAATTTAAATAATTTATTTTTTTTATAAGTAAAAAATTTTAAGCTAGAATCATATTATATATAAGTGATATAAAATAAAAAATAAAAAATGAAAAATAATTTTTTTTATTGTATAATCAAAATAAAAAAAAAATGTGATGGTAAATTTGTCACCCTGCTTATATAAGCCTTGATTCTCCTAAATTATTTTCTTATACTTTTTTTTTTTGAGGTTTTCATATTCTAAAACCTTTTCATGCTTGAGGGAACTGCTTAGCACATGTTTATATTAAGAAAGAAATTAGCTAAAAGCAATTGACCATTGAGTAATTAAGAAAAAGCTTTAAAAAATCCTTGAAAAAAATTAAAAAAAAAAAAACTTAAAATGATTGGTCATGTTTCAATAGAATAGGAGAAGATGATGTTATGTAGGCAGCTACGATGGGCTTGCCTCAGCTGACAGAAGACATAAATTCCTACAAAACCAAAATTTGAACCGGGATAATTGCGGAAATTATTGTATGAATTTTAATGCTTTGAACAGGACAACCACACCATTTTTTGTCTCTTCTTTAAAAAAAAAAAATTCAGTTGCATAATAATCGCCGAGCGCAACTTTTTCCTATTCATTTTCCTACTTTACTTATATGTTTTTTTTTTCAGAATATGGAGAAATATGGAGAAATAGAGAATAGATGATTGCTATTGCAATTTTAACTCTGTATAAAGGTAAGAATTAGATGCACCCGAATTAAAACAGTCAAAGATACAGGTACTTTATTTTACTTATATGTTTAGCACTTAAATTTAAGAATTTCTTATTTTGAGTAGGGAAAAAAATTATCTTTAAGGGTTTGCACTATTTTTGGTTTTCTAGAATACATTTTTTAGGCCTAACAGGAGAGAGACA